CCTTGACGCGCAGACACGCTCTCACACTGAGCACTGGCCACGCCCGGACGAACGCGGTCCGGGTCCCCGCTCTGTAGAAAGTATGAATAACAATGTTGTGAGCCTCGGCGGGGCCTGAGTATACACACAAAGAAAAGCAAGGAATGAGACGGTGAAGCGTTGCAATAAATAATACGGACAAATACAAATGGCGCACACCGTGGCCGAAACTGGAAGATAGTAAGCGACAATCGAGCTCAGGAATCATAAGCAACGTCCAAATGAATGCAACCAGAGGAGAGACAAAATTCATGAAACAAACAAAACTAAAATGTCTGCGCAGTCGCAACAGCCCGTCGACGACGCGTTCTACCCGCATTCGACGCCCATGCCGGTCTTATGCCCTCTCCCCTATATGCTCTCTTCGTCACCGACGTCGCCCGTTTCCTCGCCCTGTTCGCCTACCGGCCCATCTCCCTCCGCCGCTTCCCACGTCTGCTCGACTGCCGTGTCTTGAGCGCCATCTGCAGTGGGCGGCGCGGTCCCTGAGGCTGCGTCCGTGGATGGTCCGCTCGGACGGTTCGTTACGAGCTCTCGTAAGTAATGCTCCCTGGTCTCCGTTGTGTGCTCTTCAGAGCGAGCGTGGACCGGGCGCAGCAACCACTCGGCTTGTTCGGCGATGTCGAGAGTGATCGTGGTGCCGTCGATGGTGTGCTTCGTCGGTACTGACAAGATGTCTTCTCTCGTAACAGAATTCTCAGGACGGAAATGTCTCTCGAATTGCAGTTTGCCTGATTCGAGAGCCCAGGTCAGCTGCGAGCGGCGCAGCACAGAGCACAAGACCTTCTTCGCGCCCTCGAAGCATCCATTCTCCGGCGCATAATACTTGATACAAAGGCGGCGCATGTGCGGGGAATCAATGACGGGTCGCAAGCCGTCCCAAGGAAGGGTGTCCGCAACTCCGACATCGCCAAGTAGGAGTTCGAGATCGATGCTCTCGATATGCGCGAGTGTAGGCCCCGCATCCTGGCCCGCACTTGATCGGCAAAACCTAACTTCAGCGATGATGTCGGGGCCCGCAGGCTGACCTGGACTGAGTGAATAGCAATGGATCTCCACCGCGTCTGGTGAGGGTCCGCCAGTGAGCTTTGCACTATTTGCATAAACTAGAATATCTACCAGGCATATCGCCATCCAGAGACACGTCTACCCGTCCGGGTACCCTCGGTGCCAACGCAAGCAGTCCCTGGAGGGATGTGTCCCATGTGCGGTCGTCAAGGCCCATGAGGCGAGCAGGGTCCACGATGTCTGTAGCAAGTGCCGCTTGAATGGGAGCCACCATATCTTTACAATAACTCATCGTACATAGGAAGTTGTGGCGAGTCGGTGGAGAACGTCGGCGGAGTCTGCGTGGGCGGGCGGGCGGCAACGGGTCAAGGAAGGTCAGTCGCTCGCAATAGCAGTCTTCGAGCGTGGGGAAATTGTCGACGAGCCGTATGAGCTCGGTCTTGCTCGCGAATACAACATCGCGGAGAATGAGAGAGGAGAGTCGGATATAGGATGGGGTGACGGTGGGTATCGACTCGAATGGGGCCCAACGGCCGGCTGTTGATGCAGCATCGCCCGCGCGGTTCTTGACGACACAGCGGAATTTTGTCCCTTGGAGTCGGGTTGAAAGTCCATGAACATGGTGAAGCCAGGGCTTTGCTCCCGTAGCTTCTTGGCGGATATATATCCACCTGATGGACCCGGACAGACATGAAGCTGCGAATCCGGGACTGCTGACGATATTCTTGAGGAACCGTACGTCTTCGGCGCTGCGCAACTCGAGTTCTTGGAAGAGGGTAGGTCTGATGTCTTCGGACCAGTGCTTGCATACGAGGGCAGGCCCAGCGAGCCCGCGCTTCAACTCGCGACGTTCGTCTAAGTCAAGCCAGAGATAATATGGCGGAACACACTGGAGAATGTATGATAGTACTTCAGGTGGTAGATCGGCTCCAGTGGCGCGCGACATCTTCCAAGACGCGAGGCAGACGTATACAAGTCTGGAGGATGTGAGGATGTGAGGGCGAATGAGATGTACAAGGCTGGACGGCGGACGACGCACCTGCGGGGCTATATAACGGCAGCGCACCGCCACTTGCCTCGTGGATACAAGGTTTACAAGGACACGCCCTTGCGGCGCGACGCTTCCACGCATCGAAGCCTCTGATCAAGTCGTCTGCGAGGGAGCAGCAGGCGTCAGCGGCTGTCAACACGCATCATCTCCTGACATC